AATAGCTTCAGATAATATACTGTGACTAATATTATTATAGCTACAAACTAGTACAAAGCATCAAAGCATAATGAGTTTCTAGAAATCTCAGCATTTAACTGGTAACATTTTGATTGTTACCACAATTATTAGGAGGATGCCTTTGGGTTAAATACCGGGGACCGAAATTTTAATCATCTAATATTTCATTATCTAAAAATCAGTTCTGTATGAAAATTAGCAATAATAATAATAACAATTAACAATAATAAATGTCTTCAATTCTACTTTTGTTTACAATAATATAACATTACAATTAATATTTAGATCCACGAGACATAGCCCAGAAGCCATTTCAAGGAGCCGCCTGCACGTGGCCAGTTTTTATGCTAAAAAACATGCCTTATAGGAAAACTACTAGCATCGTAGTTATCCAATTTTTTTTTTCTGTGAAAAGATAAACACTTCTTCCGCGAGGCATTGGACTTGGATTTAAAAAATTCTATTTCTAAACCATATAGTACGATTTTGAATATTTTTATTTTTTTTTATTTTTAAAATAAATTTACAATCTGTACCTTGGCACAATAAGTAAATGCGATAAAGGAATAACATAATAAAGTATTGAACATATCTAATCTAATCTATTAACGAAGAAAAAAAAAATAGTACAATAAGTTAAAATATACATGAATCATTTGTGGAAAGCAGCCACCCATTAGAGACACTTTCATTTGGGAATATCTAGATTTATTTTATTTTATTTTTTTTTTTTTGACTGATAGTTCATCTGTCAAGCAAGTCACGACACCATTTCCGTTTTAACCTTCTTGGAGGGTTACCGGGGATTGTTGGAGTTAAAANGAATCATTTGTGGAAAGCAGCCACCCATTAGAGACACTTTCATTTGGGAATATTTAGATTTATTTTATTTTATTTTATTTTTTTTGACTGATAGTTTATCTGTCAAGCAAGTCACGACACCATTTCCGTTTTAACCTTCTTGGAGGGTTACCGGGGATTGTTGGAGTTAAAAGATTTCTAGCAAGCGCGTTGGGATGAGATGCTAAGCGAAGGTGGAAACGTTTGTAAAACGATTTAGCTTCCTCATAAACCACGATTTTGAATATGACCAATTTTTACGAGCTTTTGTTATTTTTATGATGTTGTTTTAATAAGCAACAAAATTAATAATCGAAGTTAAGTGAGCTCTGTAAAAAATTATCTTCTAACTAAAAAAAGTATTTTAAATCAGCGCACTCTATAATGCGTGAGAGCTTTTCCTGTAAGGGTGATTTGAGTCAAAAATCACGAATTTCATTTTTGGTCGGCGGAGCTGTTGTCTGTTGATATGTTGGCGTGTACATCGCGTGCGTAGATGGCCCGGTACCTGGATACAATCACGCTCACACTAATCATCAATGACGACTAAAACAAATGCCATGGGTGGCAGCAAAGAAAATTGCATATTGCACAAATATTGTCCCTTAATAAAGACACACGAGTGTCAATTACATTTTCAAAGCAAATTTCGAGTTAAGTGTAAGTTGTAACTATCTAAATCCATTGATCTCCAACCTCCACTCGCTTTCTAATCCAATAAGCCCCTCACACAGTAACTTCGGCTAAAATCTAACTGGCTCAATGACATTCTAAATAAATAGTTGAAAAAAAATAGGTATCATACTTATAAATGATAAGTTCTAAACTTTGAAGTAGTGCAGTCACTCACTTCACTCAAGCATAACACATCTACTTATTCCAAAATAACTTTTATTTATTGTTTTGTACCTATACAATATACACGGTGTCTCCTGACTATAACTTTGCTATTAATTTTTTTATTTAATATTTGATCTAAGTTATAACGTAATATATACATATATGTATTGTCTCATAGATGTGGTGTCCCATTCTGCATCCCTGGTTGCTGGCCGCCTGCCCGGCTCTTAAGTGTTAAAATAATTAGTGAGATTCATAAATTAATAAAAATAGTCTTATTTTTCGGTGTCTTACAAATTAAACTGCCATGGAATCAAAAAAAAAAAAAAGAGAGCAATGAATATTAAAATATAAAATGTATTTTAGGTAAAAGACCCGAGGGATTAGCGGACGTGGTGAGTATATATTACTTGGAAAAAAAATGAATTATTTAGTTAGTATTAAATAATTATTATAAATTATAGATTTAAGTTTAAAAATACATAATTAATGAAAAAGATAATGTAAACATTGGTTGTTGACTGTTGTTCACTTATTTACGCTCTATTCACTATTGTATCATAATTTATGATTCATAAAAAACAACAGTTTCGTCATACACTGATTCGAATAAATTGTAAACACCTACACGGAAACATCAAGTATAGAAGTTGTATAGTGTATGAGTTGTTATATAACATAACCTATGTTATCACTTATCACTCTATATTATAATATTATATATATATATCATTTTTAACTCAATGAAATCTATTTATGATTAATGATTATTTTTTTAAATGTTATCATTTATTTTATAAAAAGTAGGTACATTTCAGTTTGTCACTGTCGACATTAAGAAATATTTAATTATAATAATTGTGTACATTTATTGGATCAATTATTGCCACCAGTTTGAATGACTTTATTTTTAAATAACACTTAAAATTATTCGAAATGGAAAAAGTGGTTTTCATACTAAAAATAAATATTTGTAGGAAAAATACTGATTGATCTAAAAACGATTTTTAGATTTTGAAAACAAGTTTGGATTCCTTATTTTCTAGTCTTATATAGATTACAGCATACAACAATATTTAGAACTTTGACATTCACTCATAAAGTTTGACTTAAAAAATGTGAAAATATTATGAACTATAACTATATTTTCAAATAAAGACATTCATTTATTATAAGGTGTTTAAATGTGTTTTCAGTATCAAAATCCTTAAAATGTTCGTTTTTAATTTCTTAGGCTTGAAAAGTAATATAAAGTTTCTCTTCGGTTCTTAAAGGAATTAAAAAATAGTTAAACCTACAGTTAGCCACACATAGTATTCAATTTATTTTAATCAAACTATTTTACTATTATTACGCACTTACCTGTTACTTTACTTATTATAAGGCTATAAATTGTGTATTTGTATACCTATTATAATTTTTAATATTGTCATCATTAAACTTACCCTATACCCTATACTTAGTACCTAGTACCTACCCTATACCCTATATGTGCAATTAAACGACATACATAAAACTACAAAAGTACTAACATAGTACATTGTTCAAAAAATATACAGACACGCTTTAAATTATAATCAAAACCCAATATTAATTTACTTTAATTATGTACATAAAAGCATAGCCCATGCGCGTGTATAACTTTTTATGCATTATTCATTAATAATTAACACATTTATGTAAATAGAGTCACCTTCAAGGAAAATTAATACATGGATACAAATATACAATACATATACAATTACATGAATACATGATAAATTAATATTATAGCTAGGTATACGTAAATAAACCACCTATCATACAACATTACAACTATACACAACGACTCAGGGGCGTGCTCACGGGGAGGATGAGGATGTCATATCCCCCCCATGAACTTTTTTTTGTGCGTAATTTATAGATCTTCGATAGTTTCGGTTTACTCAGAAAAAATAGTAGTGTGTAGGTAGTTAGTTCATCCCCCCCCCCCATACGAAAAAGCTGAGCACGCCACTGCAACGACTATATGTGTATAAGCAACCGCGGTAGCAATATAGATTTGAACAAAACAAACCGGCTCGCGGCGTTTGGGTATAACAATATTTTTCGAATATTATAACTTTCGTGTTTACGAATTCGGAATTTCACGTATAATAATATGCAGATGGTGTCCAATGGTCCACGATGATTAACTATTTTTAAATTGTGGCACTGGCATAATGTGTACAGTAGGTACATGATCTAAGTTCTAAGGTACCTTTATGTACACAGTACACGCTGTTTAATGTTTATTATATTTAAACGGTAACATCAGACGAAAATCTCATTGTTCTGTGGTATTATCGAACATTAAGACGTACATTGAGCGGATACATAATCCAACAATTTATTTTTCTGGACAAACCGGCTTCAATACTACCTCCGGGAATTTTGAGTGATACACTGCGATTTAGGTATCTACGCTCGTTTAGTTGGTATTTTTGACATTCGCTCCCGGAATCAAACGATAGGTACGATATCGCGCGTACGGCGCACAATGAAAGAATTCGGTTTCCCACAACCGCGGATAAACTGCGACATAATAATTATTTATGTAGAGGTAGGCACATAATGCGTTATTGTGCCGTACACAATACAAAAGCACGTGTTCCGGCAACATAATGTGTGTAGTTTTTTACGCATGCCACATTAAGTCGAGGTAAAACAAACGATGTGATAAAATGTGCATATAGCATGTGACTGCAGTATTAATCGGTACTCTCTCGTAGTGATGCAGTGCCTATGCGTGCATTATTTATGGTTTTACAGTTTTACGGGAAATTTTAAAATCATTAAAATACATTTCCGGGGAGAGAAAAAAAACGGCGTGAGAATTAAAAAACCGAACGGCCGTGATGTGCGTCGTCGTACTCGCTCTCGGCACGCTACGATCCGCGAGCCGCCGCCGTCATCGTCAGCCGCGTGTGTGCGTATTATTATGTAGCAGCTGCGGCGGCGGGTGTGTGACCTCAGCGCCGGGAAATACCCGACGCAAAACAACCGCCGCCGCCGCTGGTTTTTTAATACGACCTACCGTCATCATCGGCGGCGTCGATGCCGATATAATAACATACAATAATTTAATGGCGATTGCGATTTGCCAGACGACGGCCGCCGCCGCCGCCGCCGCCACCACTGCCCCGGCAATCCGGCACACGCTACGGTTTTCCCCGTCCATTAAATTCCTCGGCCGCGTTCCGATCGCCAAATAGGTGTACGTTGGGTACGAGGTAAATTGTGTTGCGCCGGCGATGTTCAAACGGCACACATCGCTGTGCAGTGGCTGCCCGAGTGCTGCGCCGACGTAAACGTTGTACACACCGGCCGGACGACCATCAGTCGTATAAATTGACGTATTGTATATTATCGTTATCGTGTAAAAAACCATAATCAAACGACAGTCAACAATACGACGACGAAAACGATGGCATACCTATTTTACGCCTCTCATGCATAGATTATAAGCGATTTTTTTATTTTCAGGACGCCGCGCCAAAACTTTTACCGTAGTATCGGCTTTTCGCGCGCGCGTCACTCGTACGTCGGTGCATTATAATGATAGTTATTTAATACGGAACGCTGTTGGCTATTGTACGCCCTCCTCGTCGATTTACCTATCTCACGATTATTATTAAACAATTATTTGAATCCAGGACGCGATCGTCGAAAATCAAAAAGGCAGTTCTGCGTCCTGTGCAATGCCGCCCGTTACACAATTTATTCGCACGTAAATTATTACTGTACACCACTTTCCGGCTTCTGCTAAATAAGACAAAACATTACAAACAACAATAGTTTATTCATTATTGTATTTTTCCACCGTATACGGAGAGTAATACTATTATTACCTACCGATCGTTGCGATAGTTCACGTCGTTTACGACCGTTGTGCCAGTGCGTATGCTTTTGACATTATCGCGTACATTGTTACACCCATTGTGTGCACCTGAGTACTTGACCAGCACTTCAGCGACCTACGGGTTACAGCAGCCTGCTATATACACGGAATCCGGATATAATAATAACTTTTAATATTGTTATCTACTAACGGAAATCGGTCGGTCCGGTTGAGCATCCACGGCATAAAGGATGCGTTTACGCGATCACGGATTCGCACTGATCGCTGCAGATCCACGCGTTGTGGTCGACGAGGTGTCGACAAACAAGATGATGTCAACGATGGTTGCTCGCAAACTGTTTTTAGGTATTTATATTTTATATTATAATCATAATATTATACATCAATAATTCAATCAGAGATGTGAAATTAATGTACTGGTCTATAATGGACAAAATATGCTCTAAAAATAAAAACAATTTAAAAGTAGGCTATAGTTATAAGTGCTTATAACTTACAAGTAAAATGTTAAAATAGGTAGATAACTTTCATTTAAGTAAAATAATATTGAATAAAAAGGTAGGCAAGTGCCAAGTCCAAGTCGATACCGTGTGAGTCGCTATAATGGATATCTTAAATTTGAAATCAATGATACAATATCATTGTCGGTATACCTACAAAAATCGATTTTGAGCGAAGAAGGGTCAGTCCATACTACTATTAAAGTATTAACTAATAGCATTGGTTTCATAATATATTATCTTATATTCAATTTTTAAGTTTTTCTTACCCATCAAAAAATTATTCATCTACAATAATTGAAAAAAAATCGAAATTTTGTCCTAGCAAAAACGAATTGATAAGTTAAAGTTAAGTTAATTTGAACTTTTCAACTTAACTTTTTTAAATTTAATTTTCATTATTTTAAATTTTAACTTAACTGATTATTATTGATATAAATTTAATAAATAACGAGTTACTTTTAATCAAGTTCAAGTTACGTTATTTATTAATTTACAGTTCAATAATAAATATAATAAAATTATTATTTATGATGCATATTGCATAAACATTTACTTTTTATTATTTTTAATCATATTATTGGCTATTTATTTATAAAATAACTTAACTGAGTTAAAAAAAAAATTAGGATACTATGAACTTTAAACTTTTTAAAATGTTTTTCCATCAAATTAACTCAATTAAAAATTATCTCTAATTTGCCCAGCCTTGGTCATAGCAATAAACATCTCATAGAGTCAAACTGTGAAAATTTGTGAAAATTAATGTATGGAAAGTTGTTATATGTAAACAGTTGGCGAACATCAATACGGTTATTAGTTTTTACCAAAAAAATAAATCAATTTTGTCAAAAACTTGTTTCACGTAAAATCACGGTTTTTCCATATTTTTTAATGTGTTTCCCAGTGCTTCTGCATACTGCATGTTTGATTCCCTAAAGTACCAACTAGATATTCAATTTTCTACCAGAAAAGTTGCTGAAGTAGAAAATTAAAGAATGCCCCAAAAAGTGATGACAAAAAACAAAAAAATTAAAAATTAAATTTAAACATCGTTGTAAAATCAATACATTTTATTGTTCCGATCCGAATCTAAAACAACTTTTATAATGAAATAAAAATGTAGTCTTGTCCATATGGCTAGTGCGGAACGGTGCCTGATATTTACTATACAATTAGGCTTAATTAATTAAATTTTAATGTTTAAAGCAACTTAAATATCTTTGTATTTTGCTCAAACCCTCAAATATGCATAATACAATTTTACATTAATTGCACCAGTAGTTAGGTACCTATTTAATATGTATAACAAATTTTGTTTGAACTTAAAGTTAATTTTTACTGACTCACAATCAAAAAATCACGTAAATGCATTAAATTCACAGTCTTGATTAGTTGATTTTAATATATTAGTATTAAAATAATAATGTTATGTCATGTGTCATGTGCGTGTTTTAATTTAAATTATGTCTCGACGGATTTTTCGTGGGTAATTAATAATTATTTTAGAGGCTTTTAGGGTATCGATAATAATATACCATAGGTGTACGTTTTAAATTTTAATACAGCTTTCCATTCCACCATTTGTATTATATATTACGTAGTTATAATATAATAATATACTCGTTTACACATTACAAACTCATTATAAGTTATAAAGTGGTTTTTTAAATGTTTTAGTATTTTATTTTATTAGAATTCGTACGGTAGAGAACAACCTGAACAACTTACTCTACCGGAAAAACTTGCTGCAGGTTTCCACTATTGTTACATAATGTTGACGAATATAGCCGTGAAGGCAGAGTTTATAAATATATTGTAGGTAAACGGAATTAAATGTTAGCATTATAGGTAAACATTAATTTTTAGTCTGCCTCTACTTTAAAAAAGATTTTGGCTAATAATTGTATTCAAATTTTTCAAATTATTAGTAGTCATCTTTGTCAAGTTGTACACTTGTACCAGTTGTACCTATTCATACAAATTACTTTTTCTTTATGATTTAATTAGTCAACATACTGTCAACATACTTACACAGGTACTTACTTTATTTTTTATATTATTACAATAATTTCAATATTATAAATTGCAAATACAAAAATTACATAGTAGTTATGGACGCGAAATATTATCTTGATTTGTTGGTCTTCATAGTTCATGGTCTTCTTGGAAGATATCTTGAGGTTGCAGACGTATTTGATAGGTATATGTATAGATTTGGAGGGTTTTTCGACGATTTTGAAGAAGCGCCTTTGATATTATTTAGTCTATGTCATGGAAGTTTATTAATTGATCTGTTATACTATGTAGGGTCTAGGAGTGTCTCCAAGTCTCTAATAGCCATATACTATGAGCTACTTTATACTACTAGACAAGAACTGTGTTACACAGTGCATAGAAACAGCGCGAGGGGCTGCAAAACAACAAACAACATCTCTCACTGTTTTTGGCTATCTTTACGAAAATATACAAGAATCTATAAATCTATATATCTTATCCAGTGATGCCGACTTGTATTTCATTTGGTGGGGCAAAGTTTAAAAATTAATTACCACCACCACCTACATGATTCAACTATCACAAAGCCGCTCGCTTCGCTCGCTATTTAACCTGTTACGTTTTGATTAATTATTAATACTTACATAAAACAACTAGTTACTAATAGACACATTATAGCTATCAGTATATTATTAATTTTTGTAGCCATTCCAAAGTACTTATCATTTTATCATACCTCAACCCTTGTCACTGGTACATATTATAAAATCTCAAGCAACCATTTAAATATCAACTTTACAGCCTACAAATAGTATCGTTACACCTACATTTTAAATATTTTTAACATTTCATTTTTGTTTTTTTTTCTCTATTTTTGTCAGTAACTGTTTCTCATCTAAAGTTCAGAGTAGGTATTCAGGAAGGCAACCTGTCATTAGTAGTATCTAAAAAGAAAACAACTAATAAAGAATAAGACAGAAATAATTATTATCACATTTATATTATTTTCCTATTGTCTACTGATCGGCTGTCGCGTAATTGGTATACCTCTAAGATTTACAAACTAGAGTGTCAATACTGTCAATGTATACACCCTGACACCCGTCCACAGAAGACCCATCCACCCGACACCCACCACCCACCTAATAAAATACTGGGGCGAACCGCCCCATAAAAGTACGCGTTCATCGCCACTGATCTTATCCTGCTACCCCGCGCTACCGTACGTATGCGAGTACTCGAGTAATCAAAAAGCGCTTTTTATGTTGTTACGCTTTCCATGTACACTCATTGCTTGTCTAGTAGTCTAAAGTCTATGCCAAATTTCCAATGGTAAGCTTTTCCCAAAATAATATTAAAAAAAGATTTGTTATCCACGAGCAATGTTTGTAGGTAGGGTGAGATCCATGTCGTTGTGAAGATTATTTTGTATGAATCAAAAACAAGGTTTTTGTTAGGAATTTATTTTGAAGAGTTCGTAATTTTTTATTTTTTGTTGAGATGAATGCAGTTACTCATACTGACAACGGCCAATGTGCATACAAAATTATAAATTATGATAGAATGTAATTAAATTCCATTCTTATAATTTATAATCAATACTCATCATTTAAAAAAAAATTTATTTTGTATTGGATATCTCTATAATAGTATGCTTTATATTAAAATAGTTTTTTTCACATTTTTGGAAATAACAATAAATGAAGATTCTAGATATTTATTTATGCGATAATGCACCAGTTAGTCTTCCGGTTAGATTTTTATATTTAAACTGTTGTGTTTTTATATAACAAAAAAAACTACAGTGAAAATATAAACTTGTTTTTACGACACTTTCTAAATAGCTTATTATGCATTACTGCTGTAGGTTTTCCACAACATAAAAAGGCATTTTTATAGTTTAGACGTTCATATGTGTATATGACACAATGTCATTTTGCATTTACGTAGATAATGTTTTAAACACAAAACAAAAATACATATTTTATAATAAATAGTGTTAGAACGTGGGTAATGGGTACTATATATAATAACGTGTAATCATTGGGTTTTCACACTATTAAAAAAGTATAAGTAGGTACTGAATACTGAATACACATCTAATACTTTAATCTTTTACCTATGTTAGTACTTAACATAATAGTATAATACCTAACATAATCTACATAAGTAAACGTAATGGTAGTACCTAAAATATACATATTATGTAGGTACAGTTTATATTTATTACTATAAAAACAAAAAAGTTATGTGGCACTCCATCACTTCTAAAATTTAAAAAGTACTATTAAAGACTCAGATAGTTATGTTAAATTTTATTATATTTATTGTATATATTATACAAATATATAATATAATTTATAGGTATGTAGTATGTACTCGTGTACTAATTATATACTTGTTAAAACGACCAACGACTGTTGTATAAGTGATTAAAATAAATCAATTAATATTTAATTTAATACTAACATTTAAACTATATGGCTATATTTATTATTTGGTAAGCAGTTAGAGAACTTTTTAGTAAACGTTTCTTATTTTGTACGTAACTATGTGGTTATGTTAAACTAGAATTTGAATTTAGAGTATAATATAATGAAAACATAAATTATTACGTTGTTATATAATATAGATTACCTACATAGGTACCTAAATCTAAAAAAACAAATTAACTCATTTTGACCTCAAAGAATAATAAATCCCTTAGAAGAAAATAACTATCATCGTAGGTATTAAAAGTTTTATCGCGGACTCAAATTTGTGAGCCCATCCACAAAATCATATTCGCCCCCCCCCCCCAAGTCTCCTATCCCAACACATTAATATAACAATTAATAACCATTAACCAAATTTTTGATCTGGATTGTCATTTTAATTTTTAATACTGCAATGCGAGGGACTCTTATGGTTTACTAATAGCCGATAGGTATTCAATTTTACAAACAGTCGAATTCTGCAGTTTGATTCAAAGGGATAAGGAACTTTGTAACGGAGGTATATGTATAATTTATAATAATAATGATTATTGTTACTGCAGTATGCAGTTTTCAAAAGACCGTTTACGATATTACATTCTGCATGTAAAGAAAAAGAGAACGGTTATATTTTTAATGCGGTCCCACTGCATCAAACTTAACGTAGAGTAAAATACTATTATACATGTTATTGTAGGTTTGTTGTCTTCTGACTGCTGTAAACAGTCAACAAGTTGCAACCGTGGTGGCTCGGTATATACGTACTATGCCCTATGAAGTAATGCATGAAACTCTGAAGTGCGTGCCAGCTCCCTTCACTTTCGTATTTCAGTTGCCCACAGACCCACAAGTGGCCAGTGCGCCTCTCCAGAGTATCTGATATTCTGACATTCTGACGGCCGTGTGCCGACATAAGTCATAAATAGGCATTGCGCGAAGTAGCAGCATTGTAGGTCGATACTTGTTATACGATGTTGGTATCTCAGATTTGAATATTAGTGTATAAATGTATATACATATGCTGTGGTTGGTATCAACACGACCACGACCGTATTAACAGTCAGTGGTTGATTCCCGTATTTTCGCCGCGCTGTGATAATAATATTATCGTACCCACATAGATACTTAAAAATATTATTATTATTTACCATTACCATAACCATAATATTAAAATAGATAGGTATTCCGTTGTCGTTTGCTGTTCGCCGTGTTCGGTGTTCCGCGGCCAGTCTGGTCAGTCTCGACTTCACACGACGACGGGCTCGGCAGCTGGCGTGTTTGGCGCTGTTTTTAGCTCAACATACTCACTTTGGTGGACGTACTGCTATAGACTATTGTTCCGATCACTGCAGTTGTGCGCCGCTCGTGTCCGTCGTCGGTCGCAGTGAGAGTGATTAAGTGGCATACTGGCATGAATTTTTTTTCATAGCATTGTAGGCTGTAGCAATCGCGTCTACGAATTCCCTACGTCCTAAATTGTTATTATCGATCTATATTTTTTTTCACTCAAATGTACTCCGTGTGCGCGACATGATCGTATAATAGTCTTCCGATCAGTTACAAACAAAAATTATTATCATCGTTCTAGTCCATTTGTGTTTATTTGTGTTCTGTATTATTGTTGAAAAATCTGTTTTAATTTCTTTCTTTTATTTTTTAAATTTCGTTTCCGTTTGATTCCGATTTTGTTTTATTATTGAACCGACGACAACAGAGGCTCTGTTTAACCAGTACTACTCAAAAGTACAACTTATACTCACTTTTACCTACCACTTACCTACCGTACATAGGAATATACGTCGTCGTCGTCGTGAATAGATTTTTTTCTTTCATAACGCACTTTTTATTGACATAAAGTATGTGGTCCAAGAGCAACGCAGACAAACTAAAAATGGAACTTTCAGGCAAACGGGAGAAACAACAGCAGTCCATTAAAAGTGAGAAGGTTTCCGAAGACAATGCCAACGTAAAAATGGATTCTGGATTCTTGTCTGGTGCCAATTTGTCTTGTGATAATATGTTATCCAAAGAAAATATTGAATACGACATCAAGAACGAAGAGTCTTTCGACTTTAAGCAACAGAAGGAAACAACCAAAATTGCCTTGGACAGTGGCTTGGATATCTGTGAATCGGGCTGTTTGAGTGAATTGGATATTGATCAGAAAGAAACCTGCAAGCCCTGTTCCAAAAATGAATGGCAATTTTATTTTCAACAAAATGAAGATGGTGACACGTATGTACCTCAATATTTTATATTTATATACCTGCTTAATCTTTTTAACTAAAACCATTTTGATATTAACATGCTTAAACCTAAATTTATTCATTATTTCTCAACCAATAGTAATATCCTATTGATTATAATATACTATCAAGTATTGACAGTAGGTAATTCGAATCCCAGAGTCTTATAATAAGTACTTGAGTAGTTAATATTAGTATTATTTTTTATGTTTCCCGCTTTCTTTTAAAACCTAAGTGATGTATTTATTAAGTTGAGTATCTTGAAAATTAGATATTTGGATGTATATGAGATTACCTACATAATTTTAAGGGCCTCTAAACTTATAAAATCAATTTTAAATATTATTAATTATTTAATTACCTTCTAGGTATGCAATCATTTCAAAGATTTTCTATAGGTATAATTACCTAGTGATTTAACATAATTAAATATTCATATCAAGATACATTACCTATTGCAGTGATGCCAAATTTTAGAATATGTTTAAAAATGTAAGATGGCATCTTCATATCATATTATATTAGGTATATAGGTGAGCTAATTTATTTTTTTTGAATATCCACCTTGACATCCACTTAAAAAATTTCTACTTATGATAAATTGGGTCATTGGGACCTTTTTTATTTTGTATACTTTATCCTATATACCTACCATATTTTTAGGATTTCTGCACCACTACTAATTATGTGTATGAATCATGAAAGTTACCTAAAAATCTGTACAAATCTAAATTAAAATTGGAATCCAATTAAATACTTGTTTACAAGCCTTATATATTTGTATATAGTTTAACTTTTTGTTATTACTATTTTATAATAATAGTATACCATTTTCTTTATTACGGAAGGTTTATAAGAAAGGTAATTAGTAGGTATTTGATGGTACCTTGGAAGACCAGGTGATACCTGTTATGGCAATTCATTTGGTCCTACTCATTGTTTATTGTGAACATCAAAATAATTTATAATTGTTCTTAAAAATAATCCGTTCAAATTATAAATGTGGTTTCTAACCTCCCTAATAAATTGTCACCTTTGATCTACACTCAAACACACTTAACTACCTTAAACTGTTTAGAAATGCCACCATCGCTTTCTTCATACTGCTCTCTCCTACGTCTTAAACATATTTCTATAAGTGGCAGCTACTGCCAACCATGCTTCTGGATCTTTTAGTATTTCCTTTATGAAATTTACATTGGTCCATCTAGTTACACTGTTGCTTGCATCTAGCTGACTGTTAATTTCCTATCTTAGAAAGGTTGGAATCAAAGCAACCATATCCCAATAGAACTCTCATCATTTGGTAGCCTAAGTGATCGAATTTGTGTCTACTGCATGCTTCCAGGACTCTGAATTTAATATAATGAGTAATGAGTAATACCTTAAAATACCGCCATAGTATACCTAACATATGCTTAATTAATGATTTGTTGGATTGTTACTTTTTTAAGTACTTACTATTGTCTGTTTATATTAATATTCATACGTGCAACTCTACATATTTTGTTTAATTACTTTTTTAGACAACTTCATCTTGCTATTCTCCATGGATATATTCAAGTATCAAAACGATTAATTGATATTTGTCCAGATTCCAAACTTTTAGATATACGGAATGATGATGGCCAAGTAAGTGTTTTTAAATACTATCATATATTTATGTCAAATTTAAGGACAATGATTGTAAATAATTAAAAATATATTGCCTAGGTACCTGTATATTTTTTTGCTCATTAGATTCTTTAAATTGAAAAATCATAAACTTAAATTAACTGAAAATACTCTTAGATACTACTGAATTTACACTTCCATAAATACTAGCTTTAAGATAATTATCCACAATTTAGTCCCAAACATATCTTCTCGTTTTCTCAAAAAAGTTTTTTTCCATTGCAAATAGGTACATTATTCCATTTGTTTGTTATATTTCGACTTATATTAGAAATATTTTGTATATTTACTGTTAACTAGTCACAAAAATTTTATTGGCTAAATTTGTTACTATATGTTATTATTACATGTTGATTTGTATACCAACTATAGCTTATAAATAATAAATAAATATACTTATAAACTACTATAATGATGTTCTATGGAGTATGGATAAACTATTAAAATTGAAGGCCAATGTATATACTCTTATCAGTTGAAGGTACCTATTACACAAAATAATTTTATTTTCATCTTCTCAATATCAAACTACAGCGAAATAACATACCTTTGATTTTAATGGTGACTTTAATATTCTAAACCATGACCAGCTACTAATCTACGTATGTCACACCCCTATATTTTTGAACTTGAATTATAACCCAGTACAAATTGTTTATATTAGATATTCTTATACTAATTAATTTGCTTTTAACAGAAAAAAAAATATTTTAATTATTAAATCTGTGTAACTATTATTTGTGAGTAAATATTTTAATTTAATTTTTATATTTACACTATATGGTACCTATTGTAATACATCAATATTTTTTGATAGACTCATTTATTTGTAACTTAATTTTGGTATTTAGAGTGCTCTTCATTTGGCTGTTATGACAAATCAATGTGAAATTGTGAAATACCTGATGATGGCTAATGCCAATGCAGAAATATTAGATTGTAACGGAAATACAGCTGTTCATTTGGCATGTTATGATGGAAAACTAGATTGCCTGAGAATATTAGCTAGTTACGTATTACTGCCGAAAATATTTGACACTATCAATTATGATGGTATGTATCTAATTTATATTAAATATGTATAAATAATTATTTCGAATTTGATAAATGTAGGTATCTGAATGATAATTTACATTTAAAGAAAAATTATATATATTAGTAATATTTATTATTTTTATTCAGACCTATAATATTGGTATTTTTGGAACCCTTAGTCATACAAATCAGATAAATCACTATTGGTAATCAGTATACAAAAATTAGAGAGTCCCTAGTGATCTTTAGAAATATAATATACGATGGTGTACAAAATAGGGACTAGTGGTTTACACTCTATTAGTCTATTACATATAGTATCAAAAACATTTTGTTATGGCAATTATTTTTTGAATACTATTTAATAACCTTTTAAAAATAAAATCTTGCATTTACATTAACATTTTGTGAATTGAATAAATACTTGTTTACTAAATACATAATTTTATTTTTAAATTATTATGGTCTAAAATGTAGTTTGTTATGTTTAAAATAGTTACTGGCTTAAGTCCAATGTACTAGCTTCTGATGACATTTAATACTAGTGTATTATTAAGGTTTGAATACTAATAAAATTATTTTGTATAATATAATATGTTTTTATTTTTTCACAAAATGTATCCATAAATATAAATAATATTTTAAGATATCTTAGTGATAAATGTATGATCTTGGATATTTTATTGAAACCCGTTTAATAAAGAAACAGATCTTCCTTATTATCGTTCGACCTTTTATATTTTTGTTCAATTTATAAAATGATTAATTATATTAATTGTATAATAGTATAATTAAATTTAAGTAGTTGAATAAATATTTAATGGTTTTTACAAGAAAGTAGGAAATAATTTATGGACAGTAAATTCATTCACACGATTTTATATATTGTCCTTGATTGCCCCCAACCCGTTGAGTGTTTATAGTTTTGACCGTGATTCACAGTGATTTGTATAATGAAGTCATGTAAATGTATGGAATTAATTTAAGTATGATAAGTACCTGGATAAAAAATTATGAAATTTGTGTTTTATTGATGTTGCTTATTATATAAAAATATAAGGTATGCAATGATTATCGTTTTATAGCTAGTCATGTTCAAATTCCTTTTAATTAATATATATTAAAAGATCATATCATGATTTAAATATTTTTAGATATTAATTTGACAATGTGTGTTTTTTTATTTTTGTGTCTGGAGCACTTTTTTTAGTAGAAAAATGTTCTGATTTTTAACTCTAAGGGAGATTTCTGGTAGCAAATCGGCTGTAGTTGGTAGTTTTGTTAGGTCAAAATTTAAAACTCACTAGGTATTTTTTTTTTAATAGTCATTTTAAAGGTAGACCACATACTATATTCATAACATTGCTGGTGACAGCCTGCTGCAAGACAGCTCTATACAACACCTAATTTTAAAATATTAAATTCAATTTTTAGAAAGAAATTGGTTGATTTTAGAATTGAATGTTTAGTTATTTGTGTGATTGTATTTTATTTTCATTAAAATTTATTGTTAGCATAGTTAAATTAGTATTGTAGAGGCACATCCCCTCCTAACATGGGATTAACTACCAGTAGATTACATGGTAGCAGCAGCACCCAAGGGGGAACTTTTTTTTTGAAAACATACCCCCTTCCCGCTTAAATTTCTGGGCACACTAATAGTATTATACATACACATAGTGTTTGATATATGCTCATTAAATTATAATCAGCCAATCAAATTTATAGGTGGATTATAGATAGTTAATGACTAATGCGAAGCTTTGATTTACAATAATAAAACAATTAAATTAAATTTTCTAGTCTTATGATTTACAATGAAACACTGGTTTCTGCATAATAAATATATGATTATTCACTTATTATATTTACCATATTTTTGAATCTTTTAAAATATAATGAAAATTAATTTTATATTTTTTGTTTCAGGTTTGGCGTGTATCCATATTGCAACAATTGCCAACCATCTAAATCTACTTAGATTTATTGTTAATAGTTCAAAAAATGTGAATATCACAGTAAGTTTAAAAACATTTTGTTTTCAATAATTTTTTTCCTAATAGAATTTAATAAATATTATAAATTATTTGGGTTTGAAATTCATTAGTAATTTTTAGTTCATAGCGTCAACACCATTAACGTTTTATTAATATTCATAACTTGTATTGTTTATAAAAATGAAATCTATAATAAACATGGACATAAATAGGGTCCTGAAATGCATAGGGCTTGAGCCTAAAAGGTTTCAAGAACTAAGAGTAGAAAACTTGTCTTCCACCCACTACTCACACACAATGTTATTTGATCTATAATACAATTCAAAACTATCATAAATTACATATAAATGAATTACATTGTCCAGGCCAAAGATTTGTATTTTTAATAAATATATTTGTACAAAATGTAAATGCCCTATTTCTTTTAATCATAATATGTCACCAATTGCAATTTGCAACCATTTAAATACACAAAATCACTTGTGAACCTTTCAGCTATTCATAGGCCGACTGTAAAATAATATTTTTTTATCTTCAATAAATTATTTTCATACATTATAATATTTTAAAATTTTGAATTATTTCATGTTGAATGTGAAAATGTTATTTATCATACTATATTTGATAGAAATTAATTATCATAAGCATTACAAATAGTCAAACAGTACTTATAAAATAAATTTCAAAATAACTAACAAATTAATTATTAATTTTTAGGATTATAAAAGTGGATACACGGCATTACACTTTGCTGTAGCTCTAAATAGAGCTAATCTAATTGAATGTTTACTAGACAAAGTCGATCCAACCATTGAGAGTTATGCTGGAAAATTAGCATTTGAAATTGAAGATGAATATGACGAAGACGAAGAAGATGATGAAATTGTATGTTATATTTATACATTTTATTATTTCCTTATGTAAAGCTAATTTAAAAATGTTTATTTCAGTCTGATGATCTTATGAAATCGATGAATGCACTTCAGTTACCTAATAACAGTTCAATCAAGTGTTGAAGAATTTACATACCAATAATGTTTTATTTTTTCCTATATTAGCATTCAGCCTAAAACCACCTGATAATAATTTCATTATTATTTTTTAAATTAAGATTTATTTAAATTAGTACATTAATAGTTAAATGTGTTTGAAAAATGTTTATTTTGTAATTATTAAATTATTATTGATTTCCCCCCTCCCCGTTTTTATGTAATAATATTATTGGAATGTATTTGATATGCAAGTTAACTTTTTTTTATATTGTTGGAAAAGTCCAATGAATGTTATGTGAATGGAATATTTTTGTAAGTGACTGGTGATTTTTTAATAAATGTGTCTATATGTTAAATATACATTATAATAATATTATTCAGGGGGATGAAGTGGCTGAGTGGATAACGCGTCGGTTGCAATGCGCACCGTTGTCAGTTTGAACTTCGGTCACGGGCGGCACTTCTCTCTGGGCAGTCACGGTGTCTGGAGAGAGGCTGCCATCCCCCAACTGGGCATGGCAGAAACCTACGGGTGCCCACTAGAAATTTTGCCAAACAAAAACACATGTTCCATAACCCTACAGTACCACAACTTACAGCTAATGGCCTCAGTTGCCGAAGCTTAAAAATAATTTAAAAAATGGCTAATAGTAATTGCGTTTAGGTTTTTAAACTAGACATAAACTATATTGATGCTCATTCCTTTTTGTTAAAATGTAATATCAGTTGCAAAAATTGAAAAGAATTATAATTATTGATGTCAGTAAATGTCAAATGGGGGCTGTTAATGTAATGCCCTAGGCATTTAAAATAAGTACTAATTTTTTTAATTTAAACAAGTTTTGAACAAAAAAAATTTTTTTATTCAATTTAGAAAAAGTTTTGTAGGAAACTATTTTAATGTTGAAGTCCCTGAAAACCCTAAAATGCACTTTAAAATTACCATATAATTAAAAATTGTCTAAAAACGCAAAATAAAAACTTCTTGTTTTTTTCAAAAATTCATGAAATGTATATTATGTTATAAAATTAGCATCGTGTAACTTTGACTTTGGAAAACAATGCGAAGTGCATCCAAAATTCTATATTCCCATTTCCTACCCACAGGCCGTAGCTGTTATATAAAAGTTACATATGCATTTGTTTTAAATAATATCAAATTTTTTATGTGTTGTTATACGCTGTCATTGACAATTGACATACCAACATAGGTACCTACAACCTACTATAGACGTCTATAGTCTGTCTATAACATAACTATGCCTAGTGGCATATTTATAGGGGGGGGGGGGCACAATGTAAATTCACTAAGTGGTAACACCCTTATAAACCTACCATATAAAATTAAGCATGCAAAAACAATGTAAAATAAAATCCTTAAAAATCGCTTGTGAGCTGCTAAACTTCCTTCATGCCAAACTTAAAATTGTACTTTTCAATTCAAATCCCGATATTATTGTGTAATAACTAATTCAGCAGTCAGATGTATAAATTGTAAAAATATTATTTAATTATTATAGATAATACAGATAATAGTAACTACAATAGGTAATTATTAATTAATCTGCTATTACCATGTCCATTTTTCCCTTTAATAGTTCTTTTATTCAAATTCTTATTCTTGGAATTTTTAAGTAGACCTAAAGACTATATTTTCAAACTTCTGATATTTTTTGTAGCCTGTGTTGATACAAACTTCTATTTTCCAAATGAGAACCCCCCCCTTTTTTTACTAAAAATTATTTAGCTGATGATTTTTGTGAAAATGCTAATGTAGGTATCTTAATCAAAATTCCAATAAGTAATTTCTGAGCTATAGCAATAAAGCTTGTAAAATTGCAATAGCTGTATAAATGTTTATACTAATGATAATAATTCTTAAAATGATTTTATAAAAATAAAAAACTATATGTAACCTTAGATATAGTATTTACTATTTATTGTACTTGGATCATTTTTACAAATTATTTACATTGATAAATCAATAGGAATTGCTCACTTTTTCAAATCGTCTAGGCCCCCTTCCCTATGTACTTAACTAATTACCATTGACATGTTATCCTTAAGACACTGAGTTACAGTTGAACATAAAAATACTAACTTTTCCAAGAAAAAATTACTTGGGAATACGTTTATCGTTACATGGTATTTTTAAAAAATTGGCCTTCTTAGCACTCCTGCCATAAAGTGTCATAAAATGAAGACACAAAAATGTCTTAATATTTTATATTTTTGAGCGGAAGATTTGAGGTGACCACACCTCTAGTGTCTACTTCACGACGTGTTGCGTGTTGTAAGTTGTAATAACAAAATTTCGGAGTAGCATAATATCATGGTAGTAGTAGTTGAATGTAGCAGTAGTCGTATGACCCCTTTTGAACATACAAATATACAATATTGTTCTACGATGATAACAAGTATGTCCCATAGAGTAATATTACTCTATGGTATGTCCATGAACTATGAAGATCGCGATTTAAGATACAGACTAAGGTCTTCTAGTCTTCATCACGGACTAAGATATACCTTATATTTATATATCTTGTATGATATCTTAGTCCATGGGTATATCACAATATATTCCAGTACACAGTCTTAGAAGACGTCCGTGCTCCAGTGTATTCAGATTACTTTCGGTTGGTTCACAATTTAAGATAGTGGTAACCTAACCTGTGATAATATCGTGGGTTGTTTATTATTATTATTATTTTATGCAGTGGATCACGACTACATAATATTTACAATAAATTCAATATTGCACTGGAAAACGTTGGTACCACTGCCCGGTGATTGTTTTTCTTCTTTAGTATCGAGTCTCGACACTTCTAGAATATTCTTCGACTTCGATTGTTTAGGACACAATTCCGACTACCGATTCATTTTGGTTTTTCAAATCGTTTGAAGTTGCGACACTTCCTCGTGTACTGTGATTCAGTACTGCAGTATAATAAACTAGTATTCACCGAGCTATTCAAAAATTATAGTTTCTTTAGAGTTTCATATTCAAAATTCATTATAACCTTCGTTTTTAAATCGAATCAACTGAATCTTTTGAATTATGGTAAGCATAGTCGTAAATTTAATTAAACTTACCCACATATAAGAACTCGTATTTGAAACGACACTTTATTTACTAACAAATAGACAATAATTAGATATTTATAATGAGTTTGAACACATTATCGAAAAAAAATATATTCACTTTGGCTCATACATGTGGTTAAACCATTTTTATCGTTTAAGGCGTTGGATTTGAAAGATAAAGGTAATGCTGCCTTGGCAATCGGAGATTATGAACAAGCTATTGAACATTACACTCAAGCTATTGCGCTAGACCCCAACAACCATGTACTTTTTAGTAACAGATCTGCCGCATATGCTAAGCAAGGCAATTACCAAAATGCGTTGGAAGATGCTGAAAAGACCGTGTCCATTAAACCAGATTGGCCTAAAGTATGTTGATATAAATATGTTTATTGTTCGTAATGCCTAATTTCTATTGTCTTATACTTATTAATTTCTTGTAGGGATATTCAAGAAAAGGAACAGCCTTGTCATTTTTGGGTCGTAAAGACGACGCTGCCAAAGCATATGGAGATGGTTTAAAGTTTGACCCTTCTAATCAGCAGTTGCTTGATGGCTTGAGAGAAGTGAAACAATCACAACCTGCTTTTGGAGGCAATAACATGTTTCCTACAGAAAGTTTTTTGAAACTTGCACAGGATCCCAGAACTAAGGATTTGATTAATGACCAGCAGTTCATGAGTCTACTTATGGAATGTCAGAAAGACCCTCAAAAATTAATGTGAGTTGATATAATGACTGTATGATACCTTCCTGATAATAGTTTTGGGATTTCAATCTCCTAATCAGGCATCCCCAGAAAATGATTTATTTCAAATATACTAAAAGTAACAGTCATTCCAACTTTTTGTAGAATACTCACAGGGCCAGATTTGATGGACAGTTTTAAGGGAACTTGCCCCAGGCAACGGATGGTTGGGGGAGGGGGGGCAAATGGAATACAAAATACTAAAAAAAAATACATTGATTTGTATTTACAATTTATTTGATTTGGGCTGAAAAATTAACAATTCGATATGTCACATGACATTGGGGCATCCAGCTAACAGCGCCGTTCTAATACCTGAAAACCCAAGTTTGATAATATGGAACATGGATCTATGTATCACCGTATTATATTATTATTATACTCCACGCTCAGCCAAAATAACTTCCTCCTCTGCACTAATTAAATTACTTTTATAAAAATATCATACAATTTCTTAGTCATATTTTAGACTTTCTTAGTTCAAAATTTTTTTTTGTATTCTATGATTTTTATATCATTGAATTCAAATGTAACTCATTTGTTACAGCGACTCATCACCCCCATTTAAGTACTTACTGTCAGCAGAGCAGTACCTACTAGAGCACTTTTTTTTCTTCAAATATTGCCTTTAGATTTTAAAATATTTTTTTAATGCATTCTGTTCGAAATTGAAATTTGAACAAAAATGTGTTGATATTTAAAAATTACGATAAAAATAAAATATTAAGAAATTAATGTGCTTATTTTTGCGTAATAAAATTGTATTAATATTATTGTTGTCTTTAAATGAATTTTGAAATTTGTGATACATGAACAGCGGTATTTCTAACTTGAAATAAACATGTATAAGGGAGATACCTAGTTATAACGTATAAGTTAGAACATTTAAATTTATTTTCCTTAATTACTTAGATACTGGGTATTTTATTACTCCTATAGGGATCTGAAAGTCGAAATCTGGCCCTGAGTACACAATTAGTATTTGGCTTATAATCAATTACCTAACTTAATTATAATTAGATTCACTCATAATAATATTTGGTATATTACGCATAACAGCATACATGTACACAGTACTAGTTAACAATCATTAGCTCTTTTCAATAGTTACTAATAATTGGTTGGTAGGTGTAACATTGAAACATTAAAAAAAATGATTTTTAGTAAGTTTCCCCACTTGATTCAATAATTTACTGGAATAACAAAACAACTGTAAGTGTGTAGAAAACATAATGCCATTGATTATACATAATCAATGACAATAACATTAATCTTACACATGATAGCATTACCTACAACAGGTGAAACTACTCGGCACATGTTAAGATCATGACTGGGTGGCGGACCGTTTAGCGTCCGTTATGCTCAGCCAATTTTTCATTGGTTCCCCAGACATCTGGTCACAGTTATACAGCTCCATACACTGTGGTGGAGTGAGTTCTATTTCTTTGTAATTACGGGCACGTCTGTTGACAAATGAAGCGTTCCGTATACAAAACTGGTAACTGCCACTATGGTGAGCGGTGCAGTGGAGGAAGTTGCTGTAGATGCGCGAATGGTCATGTTATTAAAATGCGCCGAGTATATTATAAGTTTACAATATGTGTTGTTCCAAGAATTTCAGACTTTTGTTGAAATTTATAATATATATCATAGTTATCATTAGAGGTCGGATTTTTATGATTTTACATATTTGTTTCTAGTTTATGCAGTTAAATGGGAGTGAGAAATCTTTACGAATCATGAAACACAGAATTCACAGGAAAAAATTTATTTTGCATAAAAAAGCATATTTTAGAGGTTAGAGAATATTTAACACGTTAGAGAATATTTGGGAATATTTTTGTGATACCCGGCATATAATGAACATATTTCACGCATATCAGCATTTGATAAATACAATGTTCACTAAATGATTTATTTCCGGATTTTAATAAAAATTAATCTCCAGGTATTCCTTATCGATTGCGAAAGCACAACGGTTATTTCGTTAGCTGTCACGACTATACATCGAACAATATAAAGTAATTAATTGTTATTGTAAAATTAATTTAATTAAATATTTTTAAAACCAAATTAATAAAAAATTAATTTAAACTGTTTTTTTTTTTTTTATATCAAAAGAATATTTTGCATATTTAAGGACATAAAACATCATATATCTGGTATTTTAAAGGAATATTTAGAGAATATATTGCTTATTTTATGTGACATACAAACATCATATTTTAAGGATTTTAAAAGAATATAAATCCGACCTCTAGTTATCATCTTCTGTTTACTAACACCAAACCACAAGTAAACAAGACCAGCATGCAATGCATATATATTGTAAATCAAACATTATATTTGGGCATACATTTAAGTATGCTATAAACAGTTGATATGATTAACAACATTAAATAAATCCATTTAATAATAATTGAAAGTTAACAGTGTATTTTGTATAAATATGTAGGTAATATTCAGGTATATATAGAAGCTTACTCATAATGTTAATTCAACTTTTAATCTCAATGGTACTGAATATTTCATTAGTACTTTAAATACACCTTCAGTAAACTAGCAAATAATTTTATAATAATAACAATAAATAATTCTTAAATTAGTGCCTCATTTGTTATTTGTCCAAAAATCATTTTTTGTACCTGAGCAATTGTTATCGTTTGTATCAATCATACTTGTGGTTTAGGGAATTTAATTATTTAAGTCATTGTATAACATGATTAGTATTTTTTATTAAATTACAATTTTCCAATTATAGCATGAATATGCAGGATCCTAGAATATCAGCTGCATTAAGTGTAATGATGGGTATTAATTTAATGGGAGAAGATGATAAAATGGATACTGATCCATCACCTCCACCTCCTCCAAAACAAAAAAGAGAACCAACACCGCCACCACCTGAAAAATCCGAAGATGAAAGTTTAACAGAAGAACAAAAAGAGGTAATTAAGATATAAATTAAGCATCATCTCCTAAGGTTAAAACTATTGTATAGTGTATAGTCTATTCAAAATAAGAAAGGTAATCCGGGTGGCAACCTGTTAACGCTGGACAGCGGTCAGATGATTCTTCCACCAAGTCAACAACCTAGTTCGGCATTTAGAACAAAGCCACACCCTTAAGCACAAGTCGGCCACAAGGTACCTTTCTTATTCTGAATAGAGTATAGATTCTATCTCCAGACATAAGTGAATTTTGAATTAGTGATTTGTAGTATTGTACTGTTAGTGTAAAGTTATTTAAATTTTGCAGCGTTTTGATTGCACATGTTCTAGAGCCTCTGGTTCAAAACGTTCACCAGGCTATTTTTCTGAAAACAACCATAGTTATTACTTGTAAAGCAAACATGCTGTCTTATATATCAACTTAATTTATTTTTGAATGTTTTTATAATCCTTTATTTTGTTCCAACACTTGTATTGTTTTTTCATAATGTAGACAAATAATTGTGTATGGGGTATAACTATCATCAGCCATTTTTATGTTTTTTTTGTGTAGGCTAAAAAAGAAAAAGATTTGGGTAATGAAGAATACAAACAAAAAAACTTTGAAGCAGCCCTTGTACATTACAATAAAGCTATTGAGTTGGAACCTACAAACATGACATTTTACAATAATGTTGCTGGTAAGACGCTACAATTATTAAAAATATATTTATAAAATCACATAGGCATGATTTACACTGTACATTTTACACCACAATATATTTATTTAATCTAAACTGTGATAGTTTATACTACGTTGTTAGTAGCAACGTGATCTTTCAACTCCTTTATAGTTTCAAAGTATGAAAGACATTATTTCATACATTTTTATTAATGTTACGCCAATTAATATTTCATGCAACTAAGATTAAATTATTGAAATGATAGCAACAAGCCAACAACATACCTACTTACATGGTAATTTAATAAAATACGGTTTCAAATATTATAAGAACATTTATCTTTTGTCCATAAATAGATCACATATTAGATTTATCTACATGTAAGAATTACAGGGTTGGTAAACTTACTTAATTTATTGCAACTGGTTACAAGTTACTCTAAAACTATGTAACTAGTTGTTTAGTTACAGGTTACTCTAAAACCATGTAACTAGTTACAGGTTACTAGATGCTTTTATTTTGTGTTACTAGGTGCAAGTTACATTTAAATTTAAAAGTCATATTGGTAAATGTTTAAAGAATTATTTTCAAGTCTTGGGCTATGTACAATTAAGTTATGGTTGTTTTGTTAAGGAAAAAAATGTACCAATCACAATCATACAATCGCTGATTATCCGCTGATAATTGTGAAAACCAAAATGATTGAATCAAATGTTTTTACTCTTTTATTGCATTTGCAATCCCACTTGTGAATTATCAAAGCACTATATAATTTTTAATTGTGACTTGTAAAAAAGTTAAGAAAATTTGTAACTTCTTGCAAGTTACAAATGCAAATAATGATGAATAACTTGTTAAAAATTCCAAGAGTAATCGACTTACATGTCCTTTGGGGGGCCGTTGAAAATTATTCATGGGCTGTAATTTGGAGATCCCTGTTCTAAACAATGTGTTTGTGTTTTCATTGCAATTTTATGGTACTCGGTTACTGTATGTTGTTACCTTGACAGTAATGTACAAACGTGATAGCTGGCTTAGGTGCAGGTCATTATGACCACAATTTATACCTAATATATTTTCCTTTTAATAGTTTTATAATTAAACTTGTAACCATAATATAACTTTAATAACCTTTTTATAAAATGTATATATCCAATAATTTTGACCATGGTGCGATGTAACTGGGTTACAATTTAAAATGTTAAATCGACAGTTATATGTATATGTCACACACTGTAAAATATATCCATTAGTACTAACTTTATTTTAATCTTTTGAATTTATATAGCTGTTTACTTTGAACAAAAAGAATATAAAAAATGCATTGAGCAGTGTGAAAAAGCAGTTGAAGTAGGGCGAGAAAATAGAGCAGATTTCAAATTAATTGCCAAAGCTTTTTCTAGAATTGGAAATGCTTATAAAAAACTTGAGGTGAGTTCTTTCATAATATGCATTTATATATACTTTTCAATACTAAGTATTACTTTTTATTTAGGACTACAAAAGTGCAAAAACATATTTTCAAAAATCAATGTCAGAACACAGAACTCCAGAAGTAAAGACTATTATTTCTCAACTAGAGAAAAAAATAAAAGAAGAAGATCGCAAAGCATATGTGGACCCAGTAAAAGCTGAAGAAGCTAAAGAAAAAGGAAATGAATTTTTCAATAAAGGTAATTATTATTTAATATGTTAAAAAAATATATAATTTTTCTGTGTGATTGCCTGACAAAAATTTTAAAAATGGATTTTGATTCATTAACGAACTCCGTTTTAATTGGTGCAATTTTTATTATTTCTTGTTTTTTCAACTGAAATATTAATGAATAAAAACATGGCAAAATGTATCCATAAATATAAATAATATTTTAAGATATCTTAGTGATAAATGTATGATCTTGGATATTTTATTGAAACCCGTTTAATAAAGAAACAGATCTTCCTTATTATCGTTCGACCTTTTATATTTTTGTTCAATTTATAAAATGATTAATTATATTAATTGTATAATAGTATAATTAAATTTAAGTAGTTGAATAAATATTTAATGGTTTTTACAAGAAAGTAGGAAATAATTTATGGACAGTAAATTCATTCACACGATTTTATATATTGTCCTTGATTGCCCCCAACCCGTTGAGTGTTTATAGTTTTGACCGTGATTCACAGTGATTTGTATAATGAAGTCATGTAAATGTATGGAATTAATTTAAGTATGATAAGTACCTGGATAAAAAATTATGAAATTTGTGTTTTATTGATGTTGCTTATTATATAAAAATATAAGGTATGCAATGATTATCGTTTTATAGCTAGTCATGTTCAAATTCCTTTTAATTAATATATATTAAAAGATCATATCATGATTTAAATATTTTTAGATATTAATTTGACAATGTGTGTTTTTTTATTTTTGTGTCTGGAGCACTTTTTTTTAGTAGAAAAATGTTCTGATTTTTAACTCTAAGGGAGATTTCTGGTAGCAAATCGGCTGTAGTTGGTAGTTTTGTTAGGTCAAAATTTAAAACTCACTAGGTATTTTTTTTTTAATAGTCATTTTAAAGGTAGACCACATACTATATTCATAACATTGCTGGTGACAGCCTGCTGCAAGACAGCTCTATACAACACCTAATTTTAAAATATTAAATTCAATTTTTAGAAAGAAATTGGTTGATTGATGAATAAAAACATGGCATTTCAATACATTTTATACTTTAATTATTGTATTAGGTATAAAATAATTAATTTCTGGAATATTTAAAATTGCCTTGAATAAAACATATATTAAGTAGGATTAGCCAGTACCAGTTCTTGGTTCTTAGAGAATTGGAGTAACCGATAATTAATTGTTCTGGCAGGATTATTTATCATACGGTTCTTTCTAGTTTTTCTTATGGTCACACTGTTTAATGTTTTTATTTAAACGTGATGTGATACTGTGCCGATAACTTACCTTTAAATGATAAATTTAGTATATAAATTAATAATTTATAGCTAATATTTGTCTTATAATAACATTAATATTAAGAAAAAATTTTACAAATGTATTATTTTATTTTTATACTCAATAGCATTATGCAGTAACACGTGTTATTACAATTGCCTAAAGAATATTCTTTAAAAAATTGCTCTTCTAACTCCCTTATTACTTAAATAATAGTATAGAATATTTGTATGGGTAATGATGTAAAATTGAATATAATATAAAATACTTCAATAGTTTTATTTTAACATTATCATCTGTCGAAAGAAATAACCTAATTCAATTATTTTTTAAGGTCAATTTGCCGATGCTGTTAAATTTTATAGTGAAGCAATTATGCGTAACCCTGATGAACCTAAATATTATAGTAATCGAGCTGCTTGCTATACCAAATTAGCTGCTTTTGATCTTGGCTTAAAAGACTGCGAAAAATGTGTTGAATTGGATCCTAAATTTTGTAAGCATATTTTATTTAAATTAATAAAAAAATAATTTTATGGTTATGATTGTATTTTATTTTCATATTACAGTAAAAGGATGGATAAGGAAAGGTAAAATTTTACAAGGTATGCAACAATCTTCAAAAGCATTAACAGCATATCAAAAAGCGTTGGAAATAGATTCATCTAATACTGTAAGTTAATGGATTTTATTTGATCAATTCATGTATATATATTATATTATATATGAATATTGTAGGAAGCCTTGGAAGGTTACCGGTCATGTTCTATAGCTGCAAACTCGGATCCTGAAGAAATGCGCAAGCGTGCGATGTCTGATCCTGAAGTTCAAGATATTATTAGAGACCCTGCAATGCGTCTTATACTTGAACAAATGCAAAATGACCCTAAAGCTTTAAGCGAGTAAGTTAATTAATAGTAAATATTACTTAATTATGAGTTTTGTACTTAATTAATATTTTTTTTTTTTTAAATATTTTTTAGTCATTTGAAAAATCCAGATATTGCTAGTAAGATCCAAAAATTGATCGAGTCTGGATTAATCGCCATTCGTTAAATTTAGAAATAATGGTCATGTCTGTTCATCTTACACTACTTTAAATGCTTTTTTATAAATTTATATTATATTTTTTGAAGTTTATTTCCAATAATATAATATACAGTTAGGTATGATGATAATTAAATTACAATATATGAAATATGTGACTTACATGTCTTAAATTATAATATTAGGGTTATTTTAATACTGTTTAAAAATATTTTTCAACTTTTATATGATGTTCTAAAAGTGTAATTGTGAACTTAGTGTCGATTGATGTTGATAAAAACAATATGCTATAGATTTACACAATTGCCTTAAATAAAAAATTATGAACTATGAAGTTAATCATTTAAAAAGATGAATATTATATACTAAATCCAATTATTTTAGGTTATACAACTTATTGAATTTTGTTAAGCTTAATAATATTAGTAAAAGTAAAAATGATAGTTGACATTATAATTACTTAAAAATTTTAAATTTAAAAAAAAAGAATGTGTTTTTAAGTACAATTATATTTTATTCAAAACAAATATTTTTAAGTCTTATAATTCATCTTAACGTAAAGTATGTCTAATAGTATTGAACATTTTAATAATTTTACTTCCGATGAAGAATTTGTAAAATTACTATTTATTTATTTTTTTAGTTAATATGTGATAGTTATTTAATCATAATATATCATATTTTTTTTTACATTTTGCTTCTCTACAAAATAGTATGTATCCAATTATACATGTGTGAAAAAGACTTATTATTTAAATCTAAATATATGTAAATTAGATTTAAAGGATATCATTTCACCATTTTATGATATTGCATATGGGTAAGATTTTGTAATTCTAAAATATTTGAAAAACTGAATGCAACATTGTGTGGTATAGTGCACATCATGTAATATCTACCATGGACTTAAATTGAGTATCCATAATATGGTAATACTATCCTTGACTTCTAGTATACTGTCTTCATATTCTGTGTTAACCACACGGCTTACCACAATAAACTGAATATCTTAACATACTGAACTATTCCACCGTGTGTTAGGTGGTTATTAATGATAAATGAAATGGTTTTATCTAAACAACATTTAATCTGGTGAATATAGGAGTGTTTATAACTCATCGTGTTCCATATATTTAATACATAAGTAACTTAAGTTATAGATTCGTGTACGACACGGTGAGTTGTGAACAGTAAAATTGTTGAGACAGAATGTGGAAACAATGTAACCGCTATTACCTTAATTCTTTAACTAGTCTCCTGTACATCAGAAATTTATTATTTTTTAATGAGATATGGAAGCACTGATAAATGTTATTTGCATGATGTAATTTGTATTTTCAGTATGAATTTTGAGCTAACTATTACTAACGTGCACAACCATATCGAATAAAAAAGTACTGTTTCAGGTATTCATTGCAAAATAATAATATTGAATGACAAGTTTTTATAACACAATACCGTAAAATGCATTATGATTTATGATCATAAATCACTGTGCTGTTATAACAACACAGTTCATTTTTCCTGTTAGATTAATCAGGAATTTTAGAAAAATGAATAGTATGACATCGATGCTATGCAAATTTAATCATGTTCGTTAAAATCAAGGTGGGCCATTACCATAGCATAATATTAAAATATTCTTCATAATCTTTTGTTAGTTTATTTATAACAGAAAATGTAAATGCATAGTAAAGAAACATAAAAAGTTATTGTATAATAACTTATGTTATATTCAATGAAACATAATTATGTAGGGTAGGTGATGTAGTCAGGATTTTATTGTACCTAGGGGCTCTTTTAGACCTTAAGTGCGAATGGGTGGGGTAATGTATTGATCTTTAAATATATAAATGTGCATTGCAAAAATATTGTATGGCTTAATTTTCACAGGATACAAATTTTGTTAACGAGTATGGAGCATAGATCTCATACTTTCTTTTAGACACTATTGGCCCTACTGGAGAGATGATTGTTGGGGTTTAAACATTTTCTCGCATTACGCTTAACAATAACTTTTTCTGTCTGCGACTGGTCCTCCTTATAAATCAGTGGCCTCAGTTTGGCCCTCCCAGTTGTATGATTCTGGCTCCACTGGTTATAATCATAAATTCAAGCAGAAGTGTTATAGTGACATAGTGTATAATGAAATGTACAAAAACATAATATAATAATTAATATATTTTATATATTTAATATATCCAACTAAATAATGTCTAGTGTATAGATTTTACTTAACATTCTAGTCAGTCTTTACAATAAATCCAACAGTTAAAAAAATAATGTTTTTAAAGATTAAAATTAAAATATATATATATATATATGTGAATATAATTTTTTAGTGGTTAGTATGAATAACATTTATACTCTCAACTTATAACAATAGACTTATAGTAAACATTATAAGACATGTGGAAAAAAAAAGAAAAACATAAGCTCATGCTTTTAAGCGATCGTGCATACATATTTTCACAACATTTTTATCTCAACATGCATTGGACTATGCAGAGTAGTAGATAATTAACAACATATGTTCATTCAGTCTTGAATTTGATTAAAAATTGTTTTTCGTTTTTGAAATTGACATTTAGAAAATCATTTAAATTTTGATTGAATTTGATTTTTCTAAAAATAAAAACAAACAGGTATTTAACATAGTAATTAAAGATACATTTCTTAGAATTTTTTTTCAATTTAGAAAAGTAATAAGAACTAAACAATCATTATTATTACCAGTCCTTCTAGTGATTTTTTGTTTGTCCTAACTAGTTGTTGTCTTTCTTTCGTTCTTCTTTTACTTTCTAAGAGCCTGAAATTGTGTACATAAATTATTAAGCATTATACATAAATGCACCTTAACTAAAATATAATTGACTATAAATGATAACTATTACTTTTCTTTAACTATTCGTTGTTGTTCCATATTCCAAAAGTCTTTGAAGTCAGTACAGAATGGTAACCACAATGGGAAAAAATCTTTTGGTGCAACATCTAAGAGACTTTTACTGGTTTTTGGTTGGAACTGATAAAATCGCATTAGCTTAATAAACCTAGAAAAAAACAAAACTTTTATATTACCAAACCATTGTTTTCAAACAATGCATTGGAGTATATTATAACACAATGTAAAACATTTCATAAAATTGTACTCTTACAGTTTTTTACTTTCTTCTAAATTCTCATGTTCATTTTCTAGTTGTCTGTGCGCTGTTGAAAATATACAACTTATATTAATACGTTTCTAATTTAAGTTTGGGTTCATTGTATAACTTGGAATTTTTAAAATACCAACTTGGCAATTTAAATTTGTAAAGTATTTGAATTTTTTTTTGAATTTACATCATTATTTTATATTATATTATTATTTCTTAAATAAAAGTAATTGTTAGTTTATGTTTGAAAAATACTCCAAGCTAAGCAATAAAAATACTTAGAATAATTAGTTCAGATATACCCATAGAAATAAACGATTCCATTTTTGTTTTGAATGGTTCCAAACTATCATAAGCTGATGACAATATTACTTTGTCAGCTTTTTTCTTGCAACCTACAAAAAAAATAAACATTAAATGATCACTTAAAATAATTTTTGTGAATAAATATATTATAATACTAACCAGCCAGTTTAATTTTTAATTCTTTAAGACCTTGTTGTAGGTCGTCAAATGTTACGTGTGCTGCTCGATCTACATCACTGGGCTCCGGCACAGGTAATGTTTCTTTCATTGGCTCTTTACATTCATTAATGTATGTTTGTACAATAAAATGTAACAGAGTCATCGAGTTATCTATAAAACAGTCAGTAGTCAGTAAGTACTGGCATAAATCTAGGCATTTGTGCATTGTACATTCATTGTTTGTGCACAGCACCAGCGTGCTTCACCATTATGGGAATAAATAATATATTTTGGAGTGAAGTGTACAGATGATTACCTATCTATGAGAATGTAGACTTATCGTTTAATCATTTACCTGCTTATTAGGTTCCATTATGAAATGTACAATAATTTTTGTAAGGTAAGAAACTATCTATAGGTAGGTATCAAAGAGCTAGAATTGTTTAGTTTTTTTTATGTGAAAATTGATAAAAAATAGTTTTATTAACCTAACCTTGAATAATGTTTTAGTTAGATTTAGAGTATAGTAATGAATAAATGAATAATGTATATTGGTTTTACAATGATGAATTTTATATTTATTTTATATTTTTTTTGTGTAACGCCAAAATTTGAAGTACCTAGTAAAAATGCCATTTTCAACAATGAAGAATAATTCCCGGTAGCAAATTTAATCTAGATAAATGGTAGGTACTTTAGGAGGTTTAAAGTACCTAATTTTTAAAAAAATTAAGAAAAACAAACAAAAAAAAAATGGGAAAATGAAAATATTTATGTAAACCAGTTTTTGACAAAATCGATTTTGTTGTAAGTAATTCAAAAATAAATAGCAGTAGATGCCTAAATTATAATATATAGTACCTACCTTTCAGGTACCTAGGCTACTTGTAATGTTCATCAAATATTTATATTTATATTTTTTATATTTTATATTTATATTAGTAATTTCTAGACATGATGTAGGTAATCTCAAAATATTTTGAGTTATTAATGGACATTTGAAATTTTAGACTTTTTTAACTTCATATCGATGATGGTTCATTAATTGTTCTTAAAAAAATATTTCAAAAATACTCCATAATCAAAATTATTTTATAGCATTCGAAGTTATAACTATAATAGGTTCCTAGCAATAAATAATAAAATGTTAAAATATTGGTACTCAGTAACATTGCTGACACATTCTATGCCTTGGTTCAGAATTATTTTTTGTATTCAATAATTTATCATAACATGCATAAATTCGAATTTAACATATTATTAACTACAGAAATATACTCAATTATGACACTCGGAACATTCTACACAACAAAACGTAAATAAATTTTCTTTACCTTTGCTTTTAACATCTCGAAGTTTGGGTAAGATTTCCAAACCGAATCCGTCTGCTTGACCACGTTGCCGATTACCTCCATTCATGTAATTCCCCAACGCTAATATGATGGCCAAGACTTTTTTTAAATTCTCGGATGTCATCAAGAACTATGTAATAATAAAAATCACAAGAATGTATCAATATATTTTTATATAATTTATAGTAAGTAGGTATGTAAAATAGTTTTATTTTGTATACAATTTACCCCAGAAGTTACTTTCATGTTATTCAATTTGTTTGCTATGTTGTTCAAGGCGTCATTGAAATCAGATTGGAATATCAAACACGCAACTCTCTCACCAAAATGTGGTATTTCACTAAGCTCTAACAGAAACTGTTCTGGTTTGTCGAGTGGCTG